AAGGGGATAAAACAGACGTTTTACATGGTGAAATGTGACTGATGAAAACTTAGGAGCTTAATCTGACACKAGTTTAACAATAAATAACGTCGGGTGACGAGTCTGACTTTTCTTTTTTCTTTTTTTTTTTTCACATTGGACTTCAGCGAGAAGAAATTCCTTGCATATTGCCTGCTTAAATGTTCGCTACATCAGGACTTATTTGGCAAATGTGTTTCCATCTTTGCTTTTGCACATTAACTCTTACAGGATGGGGGAAATTGTTCTTGGCGGAGGTTTGCACTCTCAGAGTGCTTCTAATCTCACAATGTTTTTCACAGTGGAGACTGAAAGCTGAAATCTCTGATAGCTTTCTGTATCCTTCCCCTAAACCATGACGGTGAACAATCTTTGTTTTCAGCTCATTTGAAAGTTGTTTTGAGACTCCCATGCTGCCACTCTTCAGAGAAGATGAAAAGAGAAAAACCTACAACTGCCTCCCTTAAATACCCGTTCTCATAATTGGAGTCACCTGTGTATGGAGGTCAAGGGTCACTGAACTTACCAAACCAAATTTAAGTTCCAATAATTAGTGCTAAAGGTTTTGAAATCAATAAAATGGCAACAGTGCCCAAATTTATGCATCTGCCTAATTTTGTTTAACCAATTATTGCACACTTTCTGTAAATCATATAAAATTCATTTCACTTCTCAAATATCACTGTGTTTGTCCCCTATGATATATTTAACAGATTTTTTTTATCCAAACAATCAATGATTTATAAAAGTAAATCAGGAAAATTAACAAGGGTGCCCAAACTTTTTCATATGACTGTATGTAATATTGCCACAATATGTAATGATGTAATAAAATTGGGGTTCAATATGTAATAAAACCACATTAAAACCACATAGCTACTAGCTAGCTACTTTTAGCTTTACCTAATATTTAGTCAATTCTGACTTTTAGTGTTCTGCTTCTTTTAGTTTACACAACTCAGTTAGTTTTTTCAGCAAACATAAATAAATATAACTAGTGTATTTTTCAGTCTGTAAGMTGTACATTTTTCATATGTTGGCTGGTCCTGCCACTTAAACTGTGAAGCGAATTATCTGTTTCTTCTTCTTCATGACACATTTTTTGACTGATGCTTTTAGTTCATCCTGACAAACATTACCATCTGCAGTCATGAGACGGCATTCTAGGCTTCTGTGGTTTATTATGTACCTGTAGCATATCGTTTAAAAAAATGAGCAGCATAAAGAAAGTTTGGAGTGAATGAGAAACTTGTGAGGGACTGGTGAAAAGKAATTGTTACGCTTACTGCACTGAAGATAACGAAGTGAGCTAATCGTGTGATGTTGAAGGAGATTGGTTAACTTATGGTAACTTGCTTGTTGGGCCGCATTGGGTCCGGCTGGTTGTGTTTACACTGAGCATAGAGCAGCCTCACTGTAGACACTGGCGGGGATCAAAATATTTCAAATGCGCAAATCTTTTTTTTTTTTATTTGCGACACAAAAATATTGAACTAAACTCAAAGGAAAAGACCTGAAGACTCTATCGGATCATCCAGCAGTGTGAAGCTAAAGACAAGAGGGCAGGACGACAAAAAAGACAGTAAGCTAATAATGGTAGCTAATGTTAGCTTGTTGTTGGTAACTTTGATATCTTGCCGCAGACTGAACACAGTTAAACTCGTGTGGAGAAAAAAATGTAAAAGTTACAGTTGTTGCAAACAATTCACGTAAATTTACTCTCATCTGTGTCATCTGTTAATTAAAGCTATTCAACATCCCAGGATCAGTGCCTCCAAACCCAAGACCATGGTCTTGAGCTGGAAAAGGGTAGAGTACCACCTCCGGGTCAAGGAAGAGGTCCTGCCCTAAGTTTAAGTATCTTGAGGTCTTGTTCACTAATGAGGGAAGAACGGTGCAGGAGATCAATAGACGGATTGGTGATGCATCTGCACTGATGTGGGTGCTGTACCAATCATGTTGAAGCAAGAGCGGAGCCTTTGGGCTCTACGTTCCTACCCTCATCTATGGTCACGAGCTTTGGGTAGTGACCGAAAGAACGAGATTYTGGATACAAGCGGCCAAAATGAGTTTCCTCTGCAGGGTGTCTGGTAGGAAAGTGCGATATGGCAAAAAATTCATATCACGATATACAGCGAGTAAAATAAGTATTGAACACGTCACCATTTTTCTCAGTAAATATATTACTAGAGGTGCTAATGACATGAAATTTTCACCAGATGTCGGTAACAACCCAAGTGATTGACACAAAGAAATCAAACCATAAATGTCCAGAAATGAAGTTATTTGTAATAATGTTGACAAGGATGGGATATTGTTCAACAAAGCAGCAGAGCTGAATGACCAGACCAAGAC